ACTTTACACACTAATACTCTACACACTAATACTTTACACACTAATACTCTACACACTAATACTCTACACACTAATACTCTACACATTAATACTCTACACACTAATACTTGACACACTGATACTCTACACACTAATACTCTACACACTAATACTCTACACACTAACACTTTACACATAAATACTCTACACATTAATACTTTCCACACGTATACTCTACACACTAATACTCTACACACTAATACTCTACACACTAACACTTTACACATTAATACTCTACACACTAATACTTTACACACTAATACTCTACACACTAATACTCTACACATTAATACTCTACACATTAATACTCTACACACTAATACTCTACACACTAATACTCTACACACTAATACTCTACACATTAATACTCAACACACTAATACTCTACACACTAACACTTTACACACTAATACTCTACACACTAATACTCTACACACTAAAACTCTACACATTAATACTCTACACACTAATACTCTACACATTAATACTCTACACACTAACACTTTACACATTAATACTCTACACACTAATACTCTACACACTAATACTCTACACACAAATACCCTACACACTAATACCCTACACACGTATACTCTACACACTAATACTCTACACACTAATACTCTACACACTAATACTCTACACACTAATACTCTACACACAAATACCCTACACACTAATACCCTACACACGTATACTCTACACACTAATACTCTACACACTAATACCCAACACACGTATACTCTACACACGTATACCCTACACACGTATATTCTTCACACTGTTTTAATATAACCATATAGATGTGCAGTGGCCTAAACCATTGACAAACTACTCTATACAATGTTTACACTTATATTCTGTATGCTATACACTGATAACCGATATACTAATACTTTCATTTTTTCTTCGCACTAAGATTTACTCCTTCTCTTATATATACTGTCTCATTATCCCACCTCTTTGACCTCTGGTAACTACCTGGTCGAGTGGGAGTGAACCCGTCCGCCATTTTGACGTGTAGATACTCTCCTTCTCTCGCAGTTTTTTCACGCCGTGTTTCCTGTACAAGAACAACTACAGCATGGATATTTCCAACTAGATTTATTATGAATGTTTCTATCAATTAATTTGACGTAATCATGATTGATTTTTGTACAATAAATTACCTTCTGTTACAAGCTAACACGGGAGATATGCGATTACAACAACAGGTGTTATATATACACAAATATGTCATACTCTATACATAAACACTCTTAACATTACAACACTATGATTCTATACACAAACTTTTTCCTTCCAGGTCGTTTGGAGGCGTACCTCGGAGCCAAACCCCATCAGTTTTGGAGAGTATATCTACAGTCCCGACCCACGTTTCAACGTCAGCAGAAACCCCCGGAGACACGAATGGAATCTGCGTATCCGGGACGTCCAGCTAACGGATGGAGGCGTGTACGAATGCGCCATCTCATCACGGAAGAAGTACATCCGTCATGTTTTACTCAGGGTCTACGGTATGGCATGGCATTGTCATGTTTTATTAATCAAAGGAGGGGGCTGGCGGGGTCTACGGTATGGAATGGCATTATCATGTATTATTCTGGGAAGGAGGGGTTGGCGGGGGTCTACGATATGGCATGGCATTATCATGTATTATTCTGGGAAGGAGGGGCTGGCGGGGGTTTACGGTATGACATGGCATTATCATGTATTATTCTGGGAAAGAGGTGCTGGCGGGGGCCTACGGTATGACATGGCATTATCACGTATTATTCTGGGAAGGAGGTGCTGGCGGGGGCTACGGTATGACATGGCATTATCATGTATTATTCTGGGAAGGAGGGGTTGGCGGGGTTCTACGATATGGCATGGCATTATCATGTATTATTCTGGGAAGGAGGGGCTGCCGGCGGTCTACGGTATGATCGAGCATTTTTGTCCATCTCTATATGTGTAAATCAATGTGTCCCATGCGGAAAAGTCATGAGGGATACGTGTATGTGGGATCAACCTGTGGCCTCTACTTTTACGTATAATGTCACAAACAGATTAGTGTATTTATATCTGGTGCCAAATTAAAACCCCGTCAAAACATCGTTTGACTGACTATGACGATCTTATGTATAATTGGCAAGTGACACCACTTAATGAACATAAGAAACAATTCATGAGCCTGTCCTGCAGGTCATGGATTTGCATTTGCATTGCCTATGTCGTGTTTTACTCATTTGTTTGGGTGAAAAAGAGTCTATCATTACATGTATGTAAGAATGAAGTGATGGATAATTGTATGGGTGTGGTACTCCTTGTCATATACTCCGGGAAATCTAGGGAAGGGCAGGGCATTTTCATGTAATATTTTTGGGGGCCACAGACTTTTCTCCCACCTCTAGGTATGTAACTCAAATGTGTGCCATATTCAACACTCACGTGGGATACGTCTACTATGACGTCACAATAAGATGACGGCTTTGTATTATGAATGTCATAATCAGAGGCCCGTCAAAACGTCGTTTGACTGACCAACAATTTTGCCGTCGGCAAGTGACACCAGGACCATAATAATTATTTCACATCTTGCATGTATCTTTGAATTTGAGGTATATCATTGGTAAACCTTACTTCTATCTGCTCTTTCCAAATATTGTCTTAGTTTGTGTATCCGTTATCTAGATTATTTATCACTTAGGTGCTGCTTTTGCATTATATTTGTGGTGTTTTACCTAAATTTCGGTTCAGGAGAAAAAGACAGTCATTATGCAGGTATGTGGGATATTGAAATTCTACTCCTGGATGTAGAATCTGGTACGGGAACCTCGACAAAGTCTCGATGTTTCTGACCCAAATGCTACTTTCTCACATGGAATTTCCATATCCCACCTGCCCATATATGTCTGCGGTTGGACAAAGCATTGCCATGCATTAACCGGGGTCTACGTTAGGGCATGCCATATTATATATAACCAGAAGCTCAGTAGGGCAGTGATTTCGTGTTACCCAGGGTCTATGGTAAGGCACAAAAAACATCATAATTGTATCAGGGTCATCGTTAGGGCACAATGCTTTTGTGTTACCCGTGGTCAACAAACGAGTACAGCTTTGTTAAAATATTACTTTGGATCTGTTGTAGGCTTAGCAGTTTCCTACATTCCTCTGGCCTATCGTAAGCACAGAAAGTCGTATATAAGCCAGGGTCTACAGAATGGCAAAATCTGTCTCATTTACACTTTAATCGGTCAGCGTAAACAAAGACTTTGATAATATTGCACTAGAGTATTAACATTGTCGGTTATAAAATAAATTTTTGTATCCTATACTTAACATATAGCAAAAAGTAACAAATAAGCATAACTTGGTAGGCTCAAAGAAGGTGCTTTGTACAATTGTTAAAAAGCATAATTTTATTATATTGCAATATAATTGACATATGAAATTACCCTTGTATAGTGCAGGGGTGTTACTCATATATAAAGTGCTTTTATATTTTTCCCTATTTGATAATGACGCTTTTAATGATAATCGATTACCAGTAAATGTATATTTACCCTGATTCCTGCTAGTTAGGTACCTCCTGTCCGTTAATCTACAATTGTAGTGAAAGATACATTGGTGACATTAGAACAACATGCTCTCAAATCTTGAATACCCCTGGTTGTGTAAGGAGCCGTGGAATCCTAGTCTAAAACTTCATACTTCACTACTAGTAGTTGTGTAAGGAGCCGAGGAATCCTAGCCTCAAACTTCATACTTCACTACCAGTAGTTGTGTAAGCAGCCGAGGGATCCTAGCTGAAAACTTCATACTTGACCACCAGTAGTTGTGTAAGGAGCCGAGGAATCCTAGCTTAAAACCTCATACCTGACTACCAGTAGTTTTGTAAGGAGTGGTGGAATCCTAGCCTCAGACTTCATACTTGACTACCAGTAGTTGTGTAAGGAGCCGTGGAAGCCTAGCATCAAACTTCATACTTCACTACCAGTAGTTGTGTAAGGAGCCGAGGAATCCTAGCCTCAAACTTCATACCTGACTACCAGTAGTTGTGTAAGGAGCCGTGGAATCCTAGCTGAAAACTTCATACTTGACTACCAGTAGTTGTGTAAGGAGCCGTGGAATCCTAGCCTAAAACTTCATACTTGACTACCAGTAGTTGTGTAAAGAGTCGAGGAATACTAGCTGAAAACCTCATATTTGACTACCAGTAGGTGTGTTAGGAGCCGTGGAATCCTAGCCTCAAACTTCATACTTGGCTACCAGTAGTTGTGTAATGAGCCGGGGAATCTTAGCTGAAAACTTCATACTTGACTACCAGTAGTTGTGTAATGAGCCGTGGAATCCTAGCCTCAAACTTAATACTTGACTACTAGTAGTTGTGTAAGGAGCCGGGGAATTCTACCTTAAAACTTCATACCTGACTACCAGTAGTTGTGTAATGAAGTCGAGGAAACCTAGCTTCAAACTTCATACTTCACTACTAGTAGTTGTGTAAGGAGCCATGGAATCATAGCTTCAAACTTCATACTTCACTACTAGTAGTTGTGTAAGGAGCCGTGGAATCCTAGCCTCAAACTACATACTTGACTACTAGTAGTGTTGTAACAAGCCGAGGAATCCTAGCCTCAAACTTCATACTTGACTACTAGTAGTTGTGTAAGGAGCCGAGGAATCCTAGCCTCAAACTTCATACTTGACTACTAGTAGTTGTGTAAGGAGCCGTGGAATCCTAGCCTCAAACTTCATACTTGACTACTAGTAGTTGTGTAAGGAGCCGTGGAATCCTAGCCTCAAACTTCATACTTGACTACTAGTAGTTGTGTAAGGAGCCGTGGAATCCTAGCCTCAAACTTCATACTTGACTACTAGTAGTTGTGTAAGGAGCCGTGGAATCCTAGCCTCAAACTTCATACTTGACTACTAGTAGTTGTGTAAGGAGCCGTGGAATCCTAGCCTCAAACTTCATACTTGACTACTAGTAGTTGTGTAAGGAGCCGTGGAATCCTAGCCTCAAACTTCATACTTGACTACTAGTAGTTGTGTAAGGAGCCGTGGAATCCTAGCCTCAAACTTCATACTTGACTACTAGTAGTTGTGTAAGGAGCCGTGGAATCCTAGCCTCAAACTTCATACTTGACTACTAGTAGTTGTGTAAGGAGCCGTGGAATCCTAGCCTCAAACTTCATACTTGACTACTAGTAGTTGTGTAAGGAGCCGTGGAATCCTAGCCTCAAACTTCATACTTGACTACTAGTAGTTGTGTAAGGAGCCGTGGAATCCTAGCCTCAAACTTCATACTTGACTACTAGTAGTTGTGTAAGGAGCCGTGGAATCCTAGCCTCAAACTTCATACTTGACTACTAGTAGTTGTGTAAGGAGCCGTGGAATCCTAGCCTCAAACTTCATACTTGACTACTAGTAGTTGTGTAAGGAGCCGTGGAATCCTAGCCTCAAACTTCATACTTGACTACTAGTAGTTGTGTAAGGAGCCGTGGAATCCTAGCCTCAAACTTCATACTTGACTACTAGTAGTTGTGTAAGGAGCCGTGGAATCCTAGCCTCAAACTTCATACTTGACTACTAGTAGTTGTGTAAGGAGCCGTGGAATCCTAGCCTCAAACTTCATACTTGACTACTAGTAGTTGTGTAAGGAGCCGAGGAATCCTAGCCTCAAACTTCATACTTGACTACTAGTAGTTGTGTAAGGAGCCGTGGAATCCTAGCCTCAAACTTCATACTTGACTACTAGTAGTTGTGTAAGGAGCCGTGGAATCCTAGCCTCAAACTTCATACTTGACTACTAGTAGTTGTGTAAGGAGCCGTGGAATCCTAGCCTCAAACTTCATACTTGACTACTAGTAGTTGTGTAAGGAGCCGTGGAATCCTAGCCTCAAACTTCATACTTGACTACTAGTAGTTGTGTAAGGAGCCGTGGAATCCTAGCCTCAAACTTCATACTTGACTACTAGTAGTTGTGTAAGGAGCCGTGGAATCCTAGCCTCAAACTTCATACTTGACTACTAGTAGTTGTGTAAGGAGCCGTGGAATCCTAGCCTCAAACTTCATACTTGACTACTAGTAGTTGTGTAAGGAGCCGTGGAATCCTAGCCTCAAACTTCATACTTGACTACTAGTAGTTGTGTAAGGAGCCGTGGAATCCTAGCCTCAAACTTCATACTTGACTACTAGTAGTTGTGTAAGGAGCCGTGGAATCCTAGCCTCAAACTTCATACTTGACTACTAGTAGTTGTGTAAGGAGCCGTGGAATCCTAGCCTCAAACTTCATACTTGACTACTAGTAGTTGTGTAAGGAGCCGTGGAATCCTAGCCTCAAACTTCATACTTGACTACTAGTAGTTGTGTAAGGAGCCGTGGAATCCTAGCCTCAAACTTCATACTTGACTACTAGTAGTTGTGTAAGGAGCCGTGGAATCCTAGCCTCAAACTACATACTTGACTACCAGTAGTTGTGTAAAGAGCCGAGGAATACTAGCTGAAAACCTCATACTTGACTACCAGTAGG